AAGTGCTTGCCCAGGAGCGCTACTCATGTGTGCATGAGACAGTTTATGTGGAAGTATTTTAAACAGCATCCAACCCTATCTTCTGCATCCTCTTCTCTCACACCAACTGACTTCATGTCCTCTTTCATTACATCCATAAATATCCTCTTTGGTCTTCCTCTAGGCCTGTTGCCTGGCAGTTCCAACCTCAGCATCCTTCTACCGATATATTCACTATCCCTCCTCTGAGTCTGAACATGTCCAAACCATCTCAGTCTGGCCTCTCGGACTTTATCTCCAAAACATCTAACATGAGCTGTCCCTCTGATGTACCCATTCCTGATCCTATCCATCCTCATCACTCCCAAAGAGAACCTCAACATCTTCATCTCTGCTACCTCCAGCTCTGCCTCCTGTCTTTTCCTCAGTGCCACTGTCTCTAAACCAAACATCATCGCTGGTCTCACCACCGTCTTGTAGACCTTTCCTTTTAGTCTTGTTGGTACTGTTCTATCACACATCACACCTGACACTTTTCTCCACCCGTTCCAACCTGCTTGCACCTGTTTCTTCGCCTCTTTTCCACACTCTCCATTGCTCTGGACTGTTGTCCCTAAGTACTTAAAATCCTCCACCTTCTTTATTTCTACTCCCTGTAACCTCACCATTCCACTTGGGTCCTTCTCATTCACACACATGTATTCTGTCAACCTGAAAGAAGACCCAACAATAACCTATAGGCAATTCCTCCAGTATACACAGATACAAATGGGCGTCACCTTATTGAGCTAACTAACAGGCATCTGATTAATGATGAAAACAAGGGGCTCATGCTCAAGTTATTTTATCATTTGAGTGAACAGAGCTTGCAACAGTGAATCACTAAATGTGCCCTTATACCAGTAAAGTCCCTGTGGCTGCTCCTCAAAGTGTTCTAGCTGTTGTTCTATTATTCACTGTCTGTGGAGCAGCTCCAGGATTCGTCTCTAGATGACATCACCACTACAGTCTGTCTTTTATTTGAACAGATTCACAAACGAAAGCTGAAACTATTATATAAATATCATTCATGTTCTATTTTTGATTTCAAAGTAAAGTTTGCAGCATTTTAATGCCTGCTGTTACTGTTTCACCCACTGCTGTCTTTGTTCATTTGGGTTAGTTAGAGCTCAGACTGAGTTTATTTTCTTTCCAATCTTGTCCAATCCACTGACACTGGTCTGACAATGTCTGAAAAGAAAACATCCTAAAGGGCTCACATTTCTATTTTGAAGGAGACGTTTATATCTACATACAGAACAGGTCCTCGTCCTAGTCTGCCATGTTGCACCGCCATGTTTCTACAGTAGCTCAGAACAGGTAAACCAACAAACACTATCTCTAGGTAGGCCATTCGCTTCTCACATTCTTACGTCAGCCACTGTGGTTAGCAGCCCTTCTGCGAGAAAGACATATTTCTTTCCCCATTGTTTTTACCAGCCACCGGGTCTGTTTTTTTTTTCTTCTTTTTGTTGGGGTTTTCACGGATAATTCACTCCTGGTAAAAACCCTCGAAAAAGTCTGGATCTTATGTGATCATAAAAAAAGGTGATCACACATTAGCAGGTGCTGGGCTGGCGGGCCATCTCTCACATGCTGAACAGCATCGGAGAAACACTTATTTATAACATGAACCTGATTAATTTAGTGTTTTTACCGGTTTAAATCAGCAGGTCTTTTTGTTTTGGAGAGGAAGAAAAACAAACAAACTCCTGAACAATGAACACTGAATGAATCCTAACCCTGAGTTCATGCTTGGCACATGGGTGAAGTTTAAGGTGGCTGGAATCTGCAGTCCTCACCACTAGATGGCACTAAATCGTGCACAATGCTTCTTTAATATACAGCATTTCCATTTTATTTCTTGTTGAACTCATCTTATTGAAATATCTGACAGTATTGTATATTCTTTATTGTCTTGTTTCATTTCTTCAACAAAGCTGCATTATGTATTCACTCAGTACAGTAGTCAAACCCAAGGTTCTGCGTTTTTGCCTGGACAACTACATAAAATCTATCCTTTGTGTGTTGTGCATCCAATACAACACATTTCACAAGAATTAGCCTGGTATCTTTGGAAACTTTGGGATCTCCTCTACAATTGAAACTCACGCCCTGTGAATCTGAATGAGTTTATAATTACTGGCTTGCAAGCAGACTGCATAATATGCTAGAGCGTAGGTTTCGTTTCAACACTTCAAGGGAGACACAAATAAAATGGAGGACATGTTGGTCCTCTGCAAGAAAATTTTGAGCATCAAACACTTAATTTCCTGCATTCTGGTGATCTTTTCATGCACCAATCTCCAATTTGTGCATTTTCTGCATCAGTTCATGGTGTAAATATCTTTAATTTTGTCGAAATAAAAGTTCTCTGCTGCTTTCATGTTCATGCAAGGGGAGTGGGGACAAATGTTCTAAGTGTTTTGTCCTACAAAAAATAAGCTATGTGCTGTAAAATCTCAATTAATACCCTGGGCAACTATTTGCTTATATCACTGAAATGAACCGGCTTATATTAGGGACAGGTGGTGTTGTGTCGTTATGTTGGCCAGCTAGGTTAAATGAATGATTCATACTTGATATATTCATTTGAAGCCTCATTTTTTAAACAAGTAATATTCATACTGGTTCAAATAAATATTTTGCTTGTATTTCCTCATCTCTGTTGAGAAACAGTTTTACGTGAAAGGAATTAAACGACTTTATCCTGTTAAAATGATACTCACAATTTAAATTCATTTTCATGAAAAATCCTTTTGATTCTTTTGATCTGATGACCTTTACGGACTAAAGGAATATGAATAATTTACAGGGTAATCAAGGAACGGACACATAGTTTGAGGTAGCCAACAACTCTGTTTTATATATCAGAAGAACTTCTATGAAAAAAATAACTGCTTGGCAACCAGACCAGGCATCTAATTGAGACAGGCCTATATACGTCAAAATGTGTAGCCACAACTTTTAGGCTAGGCTAGACTAGACTTTTAATTGACGGCTTTTAACTGACATTTTACAGTATGTGGCAAAACACCCAAATGAGGATGGAAGCACTTTTCTTTCCCACTAGCCCTGTAACGTTTTCCCCACTACTAGCAGCCCCATCTTTTTCAGCTCAGTTGCCTGTTCCACCAGTAATACTGACCTCTGGTGGTGCTTTCTGTGCACTACAATACATTACCTCAATACAGCATCTCCATATCAGTTTAATAGAGGCGCGTCTGGATTTTATTGAAAATCATACCTTCTGTATTTATAAACACATTTTTACAACAACAAAAATGTCTGAATTATTGTCTGAATTGGAATTGTTGGAAACTTTGGATCTCATCTATGATTTAAAACCCTGTTAATTTAAGTGACTAGATTACATAATATGTAAAAAATATCTCAGAAAAATTGCTTGTGAATTACCATAAAGTGCATCTCTGATATGAAAGCAATAAAACATACCTCATAGTTCCTGGACATGTTGAGTTAGAATTCCTGCATTGACGGTGTCCATATTTCCATTCAGATGATGCACTGAAGGGTAATGGCTGCTCTGCTCTTGATGCTGACAATAAAATCTACATACAGCCAGATGTTGTCCAGCTCTGTATTCATTTAAATCAAACAGCTCTGCACTTCAGAGTTGGCCATGAAATGATGTGAGGCTTCTTTGATGTCAGTGGCCCACCCCATGTCTTCCTGATGTGGCTCTGGAGAGTTGTGTAATCCTGTTCCAATGAAGAAAAGAAAAATTTAAAAAAAGACGAATTTTAAAACATTATCAACAAGTAATGTAATCTAAGAGAGAAAGACAGAGAGGTGGCTCTCGCTTAAAATAGCCGCGTTGTCATTCAGTGCATCAACCTTGAAATTCACAGTTTTTCTCAGTCTCTATGCAACAGCAACACTGCATTGGAGATCAGGGCACTCGCAGTCTCCATGGGTACTGATACTGTCCGCTCCTGCTATTTTACGTCAAAGCCAAGAGCAGCCAGGCAGGCAAGGATGTAAACTCCTATATTCTCATTTCTACATCAAAGACACCACAGACGTCTAATGCAGATGATGAACATAAAACAGGAATATTTCAAACAGCGGTTTAAAACAATATTTTCCCTCTTTCTTTAAATTATCTAGATTCACAGCATCCAATAAAAGTCAGAGAGAAAGACCCACCGTCTCCTCTGTAAAGGTCTTTCACTACATTACACATTACATCAATTCAATCTCTCATTCAAAGGCGTCTTGAAGCCAATCTGACCGCATGCAGCAGTCTGAATGAGCCAACTGCTGACGAGACCAAAGAGCTGCGGTGGAAAATATAAAGAAGTGCTTTCATTAAGGAGGTTAACATGGACAAACATCATGGTTATGCAGCTGTACCTACCTGACACCGCTGGAACAACGGCAATCCAGAGGCAGTCGGCGCACAGTGCGGTCGTGTTGCCAGGCACTATTCCGCTGGCGCACTTTGGGGTTGTGGCTTTAAAAACGGGTTGCCATGAGGCAGGTAGCACGGAAAATACACCCCGAACTTCAAATCCAGTTAAAATGAAACCACCAGCACACCTAATCATCCAGCCAATAATCACAGACGGTAGATATGTACAGTATAACCAAATTTTGACACATTCTGTATGGAGTCTGGTCCACAGGCTGCTGTAATCAATACTAGATTCATTGCTGCGCCTCAGAAGGGGGTTTCTGCCATAATGGCAACCTCACACGGCGCACCCCGTCTTTGTAATGTGAGTTGAAGTGACATTCTTGACACAAGACCTTGATGTGATGAATGTGCTTGTTACTGACTGTCCTACCTCCCTGCCACATTGTTAAGTTTCATTAATTAAGTCAATGATAAATTTCCTCCATTTCACATATAAGTAGCCTGTGATGACACTAGATTCACTCTCATTTTAAATAAATACACTGATTTCTGCTGTTTCATTTATGCACAAAAAGCACAATCACTAAAATATTTTATTACATCTTTATTGTGATATTAGATAATATAATTATCCAGCACACAGTGTTTCCTTGTCTTCACACCAACACTGCAAAATCTACTCTCCTATTGTCTTCAGTACATCATGGATCAAGAGATGTTCTGTAGTGGTTACAAACAATATATTAAACCTGCTATGATAAGTCATTTCATTGATTAATCATTAAATGTTTGCTTGTTACATTTGCTCCAGTGTTAGGATTTGTCACTTGTTTCTACTGTATATTAAATATTTTTCAAATTTGGACGAAACAAGACATTTAAAGACATCACCTTGGACGTTTTTTTCTTATTCTGTGACATATCACAGAGAAAATAACTAATCACTTTATTAAGAAACTAACATGCACTTTGGGGGAGACCAGGGTTGGTTGGCACACAGCTATTTTGTTGTTATATGAGGGTCACAGAAACAAAAATATAACACAAACCCGTTTGCTTTCTTCACATGCACTCATTTGAGATGAAAGCATTTGGAAGTCACTGACATTTTTTGGTGAGGATGACATCTTTTTTTAGTTTTTATAGTCGCCTTCTGAGGGTGAAAAAAATGATCTGTAGACTAAACATAGCTGTTTATTACGGTGTCAGACCGAGATATTGGAAAATTTTTACTTTTGTTTATAGACATAGAAATCAGCTTAATGAGTGACTGAAGCTGGTTAACATAATCTCACGAAAAACATCATGTTTGGTCCAGTGTGAACAGGGTTGGTTGGCACACTGATTTCTGTAAAGGTAACAGTTGTAACTGTAATTGTATTTTGAGAAATTAAAACTATTCTGAAAGATTAAAAGAAAACAGAAAACATTTGTGTACATTAAAGGAAGAGCGTGTAAAATTAAAGGGGATTTAGTAGCATCTAGTGGTGACAATTGCAGTATGTAACCAGCTAAAACTTCTACTGGTTAGAGTTCCTCCAGTGTTAATTGTGCAGGATGTTTTTACAGGGAGCCGCAGATTATCTCCAGAGGTCTCTTCCTCTCCAAAACAAACAGACCTGATAATTAAAACTAGTAAAAACACTGAATAGCAGTTCAACATTACAAATCAGCCTTTCCTGTATGCTGTTTGGCACATTTTGCTGCTGGCCCAGCACCTAAAAGAGTGTGCTCACCTTTTTCCTCTGATTACTTAAGATCCAGATGTTCAGGGGGTTTTTACCAGGAGCGGAATTATCCACAGAGGTCTCTTCCTCTCCAAAACAGACCACCTGATTTGAACTGGTAGAAATACTGCATGAAATTAATGTTAAAATAGTTTGTTTTTCTGACACCGCTTATACCCGAGGGGCTGCGAACTACTGTTGCCAAAGCAAAAACGTGAATATACAAAAATATAAATGGCTCTATCTAGACCCATTGTTTGATTTGTCCATTTTGGGATACTGTAGAAACATGGCGGTGCAACATGGCGATCTCCATAGACAAGGACCCGCTCCCTATATATATATATAAGCAGCTCATTCTCAGGTAACCAAACACGATTCTTATTTTCAAGTGATTATACACTAAAGAAATATATTATTATTTATTATATTAAATTCCATTTCTGCCAGTATGTACACCTAAATCCCACACACCGGACCTTTAAACTTTCTTTTGCTGCAGGCCAGAATATACTAAAATAAATTATTCCAGAGGAATACGTCAGAGAGAGAAAAGTGCGCAAACCAACCCTGGTCTCCCTCTGTAATCGATCATGACAGTTATCGTTAGTTTCACCCTGATCTCTATCTCATAATATAATACTGAGCTGAGACTTGATGGTTGTGGAAGTATCTTGTTCGGTTAAGGACACACTGCTGTAGACTGTAAAGTCTCAGAAATGGTTTGATAAAAAGCAGAGCACAGCCTGTGTCATCCCAGCATGTTCTCCTTTTTCAGTTCTTGTTGTATTTACGCAGACAGATTCAAGTGCAAGTCTCTTCAAAGGCATGGATGACACTGTCGTATGCAGGAGGGGGAGTCTGTGAGGGCAGGAACCCTTTAAGTCCATTGTTGCCCAACCAGAAGGAGTGTCTCTTGTTTGTCTCTTGTTTTGGCACGAGGGATGCTGAATCTGACGAGTTCGAAGCTGCTGTGTCCTCAGTCGTGGCGACCAGAGTGTCCTCTCCCATGTCCAGGCCAGCCCTGCTTCTCTTAGGCAGTGGACGAAAGGTGGAGGTCTCTAAGCCGGGCTTACTCCCCAGAGGGCCCACTGGCTCCAGAGAGGGCTGTCTGTAGACGCTCAGAAAAGTGCTTCTGTAAAGGCCCATCTGATTGCTCATGGGTGCGTTTGAAGTTCTGGATTTCTTCTTGCAGCGCCTGGTGATCCTGGCGGTTGCCTGGCGTCTGGATGCCCAGGTTAACAGAACGTAAACCAGAGCACCCAGCAGCAGGCCCACCAGCATAGATAAACAGAAGGCTAAAATCATATCGCCTGGAAAGGGAAAAAAATCAATGCAGAGTGTCAGAAAAGGGGAAATACTCAAGGAAATGTTTAGTGGAGTGTGTAACAGGATGTGTTGTGTTGTTCTAAAAATGGGGAAGATTATTTCCCCAGATGGTTATGGACGTTTCAGTTGCATTTCAAGTTAGAAATAAAATCTTATTAACGTAGACAAGGAGCAGTTGAGCTGAGTATCTCATATGTGCCAGATTTTTTTTCAGGAAATTTTGTTCTTTATTTTTTTATTGATTCTCTATTGCTGGACGGCTATACTGGGCACAACGTTATATAAAATCTTACATCATGCCTGCATGTGGGTTCACTGTCTATGTTGTATCATTGTGTTCAAGCACAAACGGAAAAAATAACTCCTTTTTTTAATCATTTGATTGTCATGTTCTTCCTGAAATTGGGTCATACAGTATTGCTCATGGATATTGACAAAAGTGTCCTGCCTTCTCAGGAAAAGTTGTTCAGGGGAAGTTAATATGCGGCTTAAGCAACGAGGCAATTCAAGGTGCTTTGTGTAAGACATGAAAGACAGACAAGACTTATAAATAGGATTTTAGAAGAATTTAACTAAATAGAAGTTTGAAAAAGGGTAAGTGGAATAAAACAGAAAAAAGAGGGAGGAAATGTTACAGTGCAAAGACAGATATACATAAATGGAGCAAAAGTGTAACTTAATAGAGGCAGGAGCAAACAGAAAGCTTTTAAGCTGCAATTTAAGTGATCTTGGAGTTTTTTCCTGGAAGATTCTTTCAAATATGTGAAGAAAACTGTTTTTATGTGTGTTTCAGTAGTAGAAAGACAGTTTAGGGGCTGAAACAGATGTTTATATGGAAATATAAGTTGTTGGATCAATTGGAGAGTGATTACCCTTACATCAGAGCTGCAACGATTAATGAATTAGTCATCATTAGTCATCATCTATGACATTAATCCTTTTTCGACTTTGGAAAACATAGATCAACATTTTTCACCATTTTCTGACATTTTATAGACCAAAAAACTAATCAGTCAAGAATATAATAAATGTGTTACTCCATAATGAAAATATTCATTAGTTGCAGCCCTGTTATACATTTTACAATACAAACATGCTACTCTTACGTGGTTTTGGACACAGTCCCTAGAGCATCACAAGAAACAAATACAGATACACTCACCAGTATTAAATGATTTTAGTATCTCCAAAAGGGGATGCGTTTCATTATTAGCCATAGTTCCACCATGAGCTGGTGCTAAACTCCACTCTGACTCCGAGCAGACACACAAAGCTTTTACCAAGACAGGCTTTTTGCTTTTTTCCCCTCCACAGTGTTTGGTACGGCGGAAACTTTGCTGTCATGCTTCCTTCCCTTTCTGGCTTTAAAATTAGCAAGTGCATTGCTTATCTGTGTGGGACATAACACTGGGAAACTGGGTTGTTTCCTTTTGCATCATTTCCTTGGGATCGATACTTTCCAACAATGGTTTTATTGGCTTAAGTAGTGTCTTGTGTTGTGTTTTTGCTCTTACAGTTCTTGGTAGGACTGTAAGGTTAAATTGAAATTCATCAGAACCATTAAAACTTTTTAATCTTTCCTCTGACGTAAAAAGTCTTGGCAATGTTTCTGAGGGGTTTCACAAAGTTCTGGAGAAACGAAACCATGAAAATCAAACCATCCACTGGAGTCTGCAGGCTATCAAGCTCTCAGTCTCTACAGGGATTTCCTTCAATTGTTGCACTGTTCCCACTCCACTTCTGCCCTCAGAATCTTCAGGCTGACATTACAACAACCTTGCCCTCTGCAGCTCAACAGCTGATACAGTAATCAGGTACAACAATAGGCATATTACCAAAGAATGGGCCCCTGGGCACTGGTATGTAAAGGCCCCACCACCTCTTCTACATAGGAGCAAGTCTGTGTGTCTTGCTCCTATGTAGAAGAGGTGGCCCCACCACCTCTTCTACATAGGAGCAAGACACACAGACTTGGTGGTGATTTTGTCTCTTTTTTGTTGTTTTGTGTCTCTTTGTAGTCATCCTGTTTCTCTTTGTGGATGTTTTGAATGTCATTGTAGTCATTTTGTGTCTCTTTGTGGTTGGTTTGTGTCTTTTTGTAATCATTTTGCATCTCTTTATGGTTGTTTTGAGCCTCTTTGTAGTCATTTTGTGTCTCTTTGTGGTTGTTTTGTGTGACTTCGTAGTCATTTTGTGTCTCTTTGTGGTTGTTTTGTGTCTGTAGTTTTGTGTCTTGTTGTAGTTGTTTTGTGTCTCTTTGTGGTTGTTTTGTGTCTCTTTGTGGTTGTTTTGTGTCTCTTTGTAGTCATTTTGTGTGTGTTTGTGGTTGTTTTGTGTCTCTTTGTGGTCATTTTGTGTCTGTTTGTAGTTTTGTGTCTGTCTGCAGTTGTTTTGTGTCTCTTTGTGGTTGTTTTGTGTCTGTTTGTAGTCATTTTGTGTCTCTTTGTGGTTGGTTTCTGTCTTTTTGTAATCATTTTGCATCTCTTTATGGTTGTTTTGAGCCTCTTTGTAGTCATCTTGTTTCTCTTTGTGGATGTTTTTTATCTCTTTGTAGTAATGTTGTGTCTCTTTGTGGTTGTTTTGAGTCTCTTTGTTGTCATTTTGTGACTCTTTGTGGTTGCCCCATGAAGTAGTTATTTTGTGTCTGTTTGTGGTCATTTAGAGCTTCTTCCTGGGTGGTACATGTTAATTTGACTCACATTGTACATGTTAAAACCTGGGGGCCCATTCAGTAATCCCTCCATGGGTTCTACTATTCCCTTTCTATAAATGGACAGATTTATACATTTTAAAAAGAAAGCATTTAAGTAGGGCCTTTATTAGACATGCACACTTCTCTAGGACTGAACTTCAACAAAGTCCTCAAACTATTTTATTAAGGTAGAGGCCAGAGACAAGGTTTATGTAAGGGAAATACTCCAGAAATTTACATTCATGACACATAGATGTCCAGCAGGTGGTGCTAAAGTACTTACAATAAAGATGCATATGTGGAAACTGCAGCTTTGAGCACTTTACAGTCATTATGATGTGCATTATTAAGAGTGGATGTTCACCACAGACATCACAAGAAATATATGAATCAGGGATGTAAATATAGAAAGTACAGACAGTACCGTTGTGCTGGGACCTGTGGAGTTGGAGAACTTGCCCTTGCAAATTATTTAGATTGTCACCCAGGAGATGCACCAGCATTCAAAAAGCTCATGTTAAATTGAAAACAGTGCCATTTGCTAGGCTATATATACCCTTGGAAAGGTAAACCCATCTCCATCTCTTTAGTTTTTTTTTTTTTTTCTTTTTTTTTGGTAAATAGTCAGTAGCAGTCTATGACAAAAAATATATGCTTGTTCTATAAAAACTATGAAGCATTAAAAACAATTTAATTATATGAGTAATTTATGCTAGGTAATATGTATGTTGAAGTTGCCCAGTGTCAAGTCTCTGTTTGATCACGTGGTGAGACAATACAATATACAATCGCTAATTGTGTGCTATGGGGCCCATCATAATGGTGACACTGGGGCCCACCATGATTACCTTTCGCCACTGATACTAATTCAGCTGTAGGATTTCAAGGGTTGTTTAAGTGTGCACGTGTTAGCAAGGTACAGTTTTTAAACTGTGTAACAAACTGTTTCTCTGTTTTTCCATCCATCCAAAGTCACTTCTCCAAATCTGCTCATTGCAATTTTCTACCTGTCCACCAAATGCCCTTTGACCTTTCTACAAGCCCAAGTCATATCACTCCAACCTCTCCCTATTGTCCTGCAATAACCCTCCCTCCCTCCAGTCCCAGTCACCCCCGCCCACCTCCTCCCCTGTTCCCACTTTCTCTCATAAGTCCTGCAGTAGCCTAACCTTCCCCCGCCCACCTGCTTCCTATTTCCCCTAATCAGCCCAGCTGTATGTATAGACCTACTGGTTCATACCCATTGTACTTAGTGGGACTGTCTAAGGTGGAATGCTACATTGTTGAATCATGCCTCTATTTTCCAGCTACTTGCACCTATATATGCACCTGCCTGCCTACCTGTCTGAGAAATAATTTATTCACTGTCTTCATTTTTACCTTGCACACACCACCTGTAAAAAAAACCTGAAGGTTTTGTTTAGAATTAACAGGGCAGTAAAGGTAGTTTTCAGTAAAACTTCATAGTTTTTATAACACATTTAAACTATGTCCTTTGGCACACGATGTGTGTTTTACACAATCTTGACTACGAGTAGAGAGGCACCAGCTGGAAGAGTAGCCTACAAACTAACTCCCTGCAGTCACCAGCCAACTTCAGTACTGGAGTGAGTTCACACTTCTGCTACTCACACTGAATTCATGTGTTTCCTCAAATATTATGCTCTAAATATCATGTTGCTTATATTGAATTTGTCCAGTTGATGTTCTCAAGACTAGTTGGAGGGCTGAATTTGCTCTGCTTACTATCTTACCACTCTTTCATTTGCTAAACACAGAGGATTAGGACCATGTATTGATCAAGGGTATAAGTCAGAACTATGCAATAAATATCACACAGAATTTTGAACTTGTAAAGAACCCCAAAACAAACTTGTGACTGACTTTTACCTTACTAGAAAGTGAGAACCCCCTACCTTTGGCTAAAAACTTACTATCATTTCTAACTGCAGACTTCCTGGCTTTTCAGAAAGTGACAATCATATGACCCTTGTTTCATGACTTAAACAGGCTGTGATCCATGTGGTTTGCAGCCCCTTTTACCTCCCATCCCTTCCCACTGGAAGGGTCTTCCTGAATAATTAAAGAGCTAGCTCCAAAAACAAAGCAAGTGTGCAAGGATGCTGCAGGATAAATTTCCCTGCAAATGTATTTTTTGTCCACAGCCACTCAACAGTTTACCATTGGTTCTTAGGCTGGTGAGTGAAACAAATCTAGCAGGCACTTGCACATTTTACCAGTACTTGGCTGGTGGCTGGTGGTTATTTCCAGCCCTGCCCACATCCTGACTACTGAAACTCAAAGTTCATTATTTGTCATATGCACAACAATTTTAATAAAGCAGTACTTGGCAATGAGATTCTTAATTATCAGGCTCCCTCCAACAATGCTACTGCAAAATGTATGAAAGGAACACACACACACACACACACACACATACACACACAAAGAGAGAATCTAATAGGATTAGGCACTGTTTGTTACATATGAGGTGGGAGGGGCTGGTGCAAAAAAGGGGGAGGCATGTCAACTATTTTTTTAAACACTGGGGAGGGACTTATTTTTTTTGGCTCGGGGAAGGGCATACAGATTTAAATGGTTGGATTTTGTATTTATTTTACCACAAATTCTTTAAAAATTGCCCAAATTACACCATTTATTAAAACTACAAACTGTAGAAGCAGAAACTTCTGGTGAATTGTCAAATTTCTGATGGGGCTTGGGCACATCATGTGTGACAAATGCTTCAAATCTGAGTTTAAAACAGTGATGTTTCATCAAAATAAAGTTACTCTATGTCTCATTTGAAATTTAGCCCAAAAAACCCATTTGCACCAACAATCAGCATGCACAACAAAAGTGAAAACCCAAGGCTTTTTTAAACTCCAGGATTTCGCCATTACTGTTCTGCAAACTGTGGCCTGCATTTTACGTCTTCAACTACAACATCCCTGATTTGCTGCTTACGTTGTCAAGTACAGTGCGGATCCCTGATTGGCCCTGATTGTATTTTAATTTTTGGAAAGTGTTTGGGGTGGCTGCAGATACAGAGAGATAAAATGAATGTTGAGCACATGTCATCAGGATGGTTTCACCAGGCTATCAAGGAAGGTTCAAGGAAAAATATACAAACTTTGGAGGGGTCAAAAAACAAAACAAAACAAACAATGTTACACCCCATCCTCTGATAAGTAAAGAACAGTCCCTTATTCATTCATTTTCTGGAACCGCTTATCCTGTTAGAGGTTGCAGGAGGGCTGGAGCCTATCCCAGCTGACATTGGGGGAGAGGCGGGTTACACCCTGGACAGGTCGCCAGACTATTGCGAGCCTGACACATAGAGACAGACAACCATTCACAGCTACGGCCAATTTAGAGTCACCAATCAACCTGCATGTCTTTGGACTGTGAGAGGAAGCTGGAGTACCCAGAAATAAACCCACTCTGACATGAGGAGAGCATGCAAACTCCACACTGAAGGGCTCAAACCAGGAACCTTCTTGCTGTGAGGTAACAATGCTAACCACTGTACCACCATGCTGCTGATAAGTAAAGAACAGTCCCTTACTAAACATAAAATAGGCGGTGCAAAAGTTAA